AAATGTAGAATTGAGAAGTGAATGAAGATTATGTAGTAGTGTATAAAATGAGTTGTAAAATGAAGATAATAATGTAAAAAATGTAAAAGAGAATTATAGGATAATTGGATAAATGAATGATATTGTTGATAATGATTTGTAAATTGTGGAGAGTAAATAGTATATAATGAAAGTTTGGTGGGAAAAAAATGGTGTAATGAATTGGGTATTTATAGGAGAAGAAAAATAGGAAAATAGGAAAATAAAATAAATAAAATTCAAAGTGACCAAACGGTCACTGATTCAAAAAAAAAAATTTTTTTTTTTTTTTAATATGGACGAGCCTTAGGCTCATCTAAGACGAGCCGCTCGTCGAGCCGCTCGTGAACAATTACGAGTCAAGTGGGATCTACTCGTCTAGCCTACCGCCAGCTCTGCTCGTGCTCGGACTCGTCAATGGCTCGTGGGAGTGAGCAGTACTAGCTGAACGGGCGAGCCGACGAGCCGCTCGACTCGTTTGACACCACTACTTATGGGGTTAGGCATGGTAGGGGATGAGAACATACCTTCCCTTTGTGTAGATGATTCACACTCTCTCGTGAATAATTCAAATAAAAAAAACACAACTAAATATTCATTGATTTTTACTTTTTATATATAAGAATATTAAATACTGAAAATTAATATTTGATCAAGAAACTCATTAATTCAAAATTAAATGTCGAAAAAATAAATAAATTGAAAGAAATTAGTAGTTTATAATTTCAGTCAAAGAAGAATCATCCAATCTGGCGGCTGGCGGCTTCTTCAAAGCTGACAAAATAAAAAATCACGTTCAACATCAGACTCAAAACTCAACTACTCAAGCAATTTCACACTCTTGATGAAGCGATCTGATCTGATCTGAGAAACCCAGATTCCCTCTTAGAAAAAATGGGAGAAAACAAAACATTTTTCCCCAAATCCATCGTCTGCTTCGTTTTCTCACTAATTTCTAGTGTAATCGCATCATCACCGGTGCCTCAGCCATGGCCGCTGCAATTCCACTCGATTCTCGTCATGAACAGCAGCAAAGGGGTCCTCCAAATCGACGATCTCTGGTACGACTTTCCCAATGGGCGAAACTTCAACATAATTCAGAACCAATTGGGGCAAAAACTTTACAGTCTGGAATGGAATAATGGAACTTCTTTTTACTATACATTGGATTCTGATAAAGTCTGCTCGAGCAAGCACGACCCAGTTGGAATTCTGAGACCTAATTGGCTTGAGGGAGCGAATTATCTTGGGCAGCAGTACAAGGATGGGTTCCTTTGCAATGTGTGGGAGAAGGCTGAGATTGTTTGGTACTATGAAGATGTGATTACCAAAACACCTGTTTACTGGTATTTCGACACGGGTATGTATCACACGAATTCCTCTGTTTTTTATTTAGCCCCCAATCCCATATATAGTATCGATTTTGTGTGGAAAAAAAAAACGTGTAGTTAAGTCCATGTTAGCTAAAAATCATATTTTTATTAAATTTTAATAAAAATTGATTAAATGTGGGGTTGAAAAGTTATGAAATTAATGAAATATACTATTAAAATTTATTTTTAACTTACATTTTGATCCATACCAAACAAGAGCTAAAAGTACGGAAAAAAATTTATGTTTAGGTGCACAATTATTTTATTGAGAAAATTTACAATTGAAAATGAGTTTTTTTTTTTCTTTTTTAAAAAGCCATTGTTTGGTTTGGATTGAAATCTCAAATTAAAATTAATAATTAATTTTAACCATACATTTTATTTGACATACATTTTTTTACCACATTTTATCAAAATCACGAAAAACTTCTAATTTTAAACTACATCAAACAGAAGCTAAATCTTAAATAATGGTGCTAAAAAAAAGGCTTAGGAATTAGAATAGGGTAGAGAGTGTTGGATCAAGTAGAATCAATATTCTATAAACCGTAAAGTGTGACTAGGTGTGAAGGTTAAATTTACGAACTTAGGCGAGAGTAAAAAAAACCTTTTTTTTAATACAAGTCACTACATATGTGAAATTTTATAAGCTCTTGTTGGCTCGGCTAGCCCTTAGAGTCCTTTTGTTTTTCCCTTTACAAATAGGACAAATGAGGTTTGCGTTCGCCATTCTTATTATAGTCTCCTCAAAAGTCTAGAACACTGAGTGGAATACACAATCAAGTGTGTCAGCATATCCACTTTCTTCGATCAGGACAGACATTTCACTATAATTAGTGTTGTAGTCGATCTAAGTAAGACCTTGTAAGAATTAAGTGTTTTACTGATCTAGGACTAATTATTATCTTTTTTAAAAAGCCATTGTTTGGTCTGGATTGAAATCTCAAATTAAAATCTCAAATTAATTTTAATCATACATTTTATTGGACATACATTTTTTTTTACCACATTTTATCAAAATCACGAAAAACTTCTAATTTTAAACTACATCAAACAGAAGCTAAATCCTAAATAATGGTGCTAAAAAAAGGCTGAGGAATTAGAATAGGGTAGAGAGTGTTGGATCAAGTAGAATCAATATTCTATAAACCATAAAGTGTGACTATGTGTGAAGGTTAAATTTACGAATTTAGGCGAGACTCTAAAAAAAAACGTTTTTTCTTTTAATACAAGCCACTACATATGTGAAATTTTATAAGCTCTTGTTGGCTCGGCTTAAAGTCCTTTTGTTTTTCCCTTTACAAATAGGACAAATGAGGTTCGCGTTCGCCATTCTTGTTATAGTCTCCTCAAAAGCCAAGAACATTGAGTGGAATACACAATCAAGTGTGTCAGCATATCCACTTTCTTCGATCAGGACAGTCATTTCACTATAATTAGTGTTGTAGTCGATCTAAGTAAGACCTTGTAAGAATTAAGTATTTTACTGATCTAGGACTAATTATTTCTTCATCAAAGTATAAGTTGTGTCTCTTTCGCTCAAATATTTGGCAACAATGATCTTAATAAATAAATAAATAACCAATGTGATATTTTGAAGTTGAGGAGACATGTCACTTCAAAGTTGAGGGTAATGTAAACCTCTCATGGGATCATAGGCGAGTAGCCTAAAAACTCTCATCTTACTTAGATGGACTTTACCAAAACCAAAAACAAAAATAAAATGTAATATTTATATGTGAAATGCAGGGACAATAGCACATTTTATGACATTTGAGGTTGGGAGAGTACTTGAGGATCCAAACTGGCAAGCCCCTGTCTATTGCTTTGAAGAGTCTAATGAGCAAAACAAACCAGCACTTGAATTAATACCAGCTACTTGGAATTTGATGAGACAACTCCAGAGTATTCCTGCTTCTCTGAAAGTTTACTTATAAGTTTCTTTTAGAATAAATACTTTTTTATAGATTTAAAAATAAGTAATTACTTCTGTCCAAGGTTCCCTTCCCTTCTCTTCTTGCCACTAGTCATCTGTATACAAGGAATTATCGCATGAAATAAATTTAAGTGGTGATGACAGACTTTCTGCAACTCTAAAAGAGATTTTCGTTTATAAGAGCAATAGATTTCTTATATAGTACACGTATTTGAAGATTAGAGCGTAAATTAAAATCAATATGTTCTTTGTGATTTTGTAAAATCTATTAAAAAAAAGTGGCATTATCTCGATGAACTGTCCAATCCTTAACATCAGGGCGGAGGTAGGAACTGTCCAATACTCTTCTCTTTTTTTTTTTAAAATAATCCATAGTTGAGTATTGGACAGTTCTTATATATCAGGCAACAACGTAATAATGTTAAAAAAAAATAAAAAATTACAGTCGTTCTCTATGAGTGTCTGTACTTTGAAAGCATTATATATGGTAGGTCAGTGGAAAGAATTACAAATAAATATTATCTTCTGCTATTTTATTGTAACGCCCCAAATTCTAGGAACTCGAAGCGTTAAAAATCTTTTTAAATTTAGCTCTTTACTTCAAACAAAATATATTTCAAATACGGGAAATTTGAAGTTTGAAATATATAATAAAATATGATTAGAGATAATTTCCTATATAGACTTAGTCAATTATGGTAAAATTTGAATTTTGTAAAACATTCGGAAGAATCTCCGCAGTGACCCTAGCGTAGCAGCGGAAAGATAAAAA